ATGTTGAATTTATTGGTCTTACCCCAGTTCTTCGTGAACGTGCTCCCACAACACAATTTGGCAAGAAGATCGATGGCAAATTGCCATGGAGATTAATGGTGGAGTTAGCAACGTGCATCTTTATATATTTATATATGTATAAAAAGATTCGGATATGTGGTGTGATTTTTTTATTATTATTATTTATTTATTTCTGACTAATCCAAAGAGGATTCAGACTTCGGAACTTGCCACCTTCAAATCCCGCCTTGGTCTGAAACAGCCCGAATTTGGTGACTCTATATATACATCTGTCCCATTCATTATTCAGGAGGCAGTTGTCATAGGCTTCAGGACAAACATTAGCATTTCTGTTCTGATGTAAAAACAATCACCTAAAGCACTTTAGCAACTGGAAATAAAAGGAAAGCAGATAGTGCAACAAAACTCATGTAATTCAAAATTTAGCAGTTGATCCTGCTGAGTGTCTCCTGGGAAGTACTGAACACCCTTGAGTCATTGATTTCAGTTGAAATTGAGGGTATTCAGCTCTTTCAAGGGGGTCGGGTTCATAATTTCATTGTACACAAAATTGTGATTATTTAAATAAATTTCAGTTCATTCAGATTGACTTTTCATGGGGTAAAGTTACTTGTGTTAAATATACTATATTGTATTAATGACACCAGCATCTGAAGGTCAAAGTGGAAAATACATTTTGGGATAATAAAAGGAGCAAGATAAATATTTTTGATATTTTAGATGCCCGGAGCCCATTCCTTATCTTTCTCACTGGTATAAATCAGGAGTGACTCTCTTGAAATCAATTGTGTCCATCCATGTAGAATTAAATCTACACAATTTAAAAGAACATAAGTACGCATGTGGATTTTGCTGGTAGCTGACAGAAAGAGACCAGTAAGGGATGCCAGAATGGGACACAATATTTCAGTAAAAAGCAACAGAGGGTCCTGTGGCACCTTTAAGACTAACAGAAGTATTGGGAGCATAAGCTTTCGTGGGTAAGAACCTCACTTCTTCAGATGCAAGTAAGCAAGTAAAATATTTCAGTAGTGGTTGTACCAGTGCCAAACAGGTAATACAACTTCCCTACTTCTACTAGATATTCCCCTATTCAGGCATCAAAGGATCACATTAGCCCTTTTGGCCATAGTGTTGCATTGAAAGCTCATGTTTAGCTGATTATCCACCCTAACCCCCAAGTTCTTTTCAGAGCCATTGCTTCTCAAAGTACAGTCCCCCAGCCTACATTAGTTGTTCCTAGATGTATGACTTTACTTTTAGCCATATTAAAACACGTTGTTTGCTTGAACCCAGTTAAGCAAACCAGATCACTCTGTACCAGTGATTTGTCCTGTTCATTAATTATCCCTTCACCAATATTTGTCACCTCAAACTTTATCAGAAATGATTTTATGTTGTCTTCCAGTTCATTGACAAAACTTTTAAATAGCATAGGGCCAAGAACCAATCTCTGTGGGACGCCACTAGAAACACACGCACTTGATAATTCCCCATGTACGATTATATTTTGAGACCTATCAGTTAAGCAGGTTTCAGAGTAGCAGCCGTGTTAGTCTGTATCCGCAAAAAGAAGAACAGGAGTACTTGTGGCACCTTAGAGACTAACAAATTTATTAGAGCATAAGCTTTCGTGGACTACAGCCCACTTCTTCGGATGCATATAGAATGGAACATATATTGAGGAGATATATATATACACACATACAGAGAGCATAAACAGGTGGGAGTTGTCTTACCAACTCTGAGAGGCCAATTAATTAAGAGAAAAAAAACTTTTAGAAGTGATAATCAAGATAGCCCAGTACAGACAGTTTGATAAGAAGTGTGAGCATACTTACAAGGAGAGATAGAATCAATGTTTGTAATGGCTCAGTCATTCCCAGTCCTTATTCAAACCGGAGTTGATTGTGTCTAGTTTGCATATCAATTCTAGCTCAGCAGTCTCTCGTTGGAGTCTGTCCTATCTCGGGGCCTCTCCTTTTGTCCCTCCAGACCCATGAATATGATACAGTTCTG